TGTCAATAATTTATAATATAAGGGTCACATAATAACAAACACAAAATGACTTACGATCGAAGACCTCGCGGCCAACCGTGTTACAAAATACCGCGCGCCTAACGTTGGCTCACGGAGGGTTCAGATGCAAGTCGGCACGGGTTCCCGTTTATAGAATGAGCTGAAATTTTTACTGGGAGTATATAAACACGTAATAAATATAATTAGAGGGTATGCGTAAAAAAATAAAAAATAAGGGACACCCTAATGTACATACATAAAACGTATTATCGAGTGGAATTTGGACGTACTTAGTACGTACTTAGGATGTACATAAGATATCGCAGTACGTACGTAAAATGTAAGGTACGTCGAAGCTCGACGTACTATGTACGTACATAAAATGTAAACTGGTTGTTTGGGAAGTCTAGGGACCCTATGGTAATATTCATGTAAACGCCATCTATCGCCCTGTAGTTGATTTTAGCATCACATTGACAACCGTACCCGATCAACTGATTGATTCCTTTTAAATTTACTGTAGACGAAAACTCGCCAGATACGATACGTATACGTATAGTATACGACGTATACGTATATTAGTATAAGTAAATAATTTACGCTCTTTGCTGACTTGGGATTAAGTGCCGTACTTTACCTTATTAAAAACGAGAATAGCGAAGCGATATTTTGTTGACAGCCAAGATCAAACTTAATGAAATATTAATGAGTGACAAAAAAGCTTAGAGAGGCTTTTAATAATCCAGAAAGTTTTTACCTGTTCAACATTTTTTGCAAAAAGTAGTCTTATAGTTTAATCCATTTCCATTGGGATTAGAATTCTTAAAAAATTCCTTATTATTTGTTATCCTTATCCTTACTTATTATAAATGCGAAGTGTGGCTTAGATATTCTTTTACGCAGCAATGAATACATCCACGTGTAATCTGCGTTGCCTATCCACGTAAACTAAAATACGGTTTTTAGGCATTGAAAAATATAAAAAGTATGGGCTAAAATGGGTAAATAATTGAATACAGTAGTGTTTATTTAATAAACTTTATTATATTTTCCATTGATTACATACCTATTATATACATTAAGTAAAATATACAATGACGGTACACTCTCCTAGTTTGGTTAATTATTAATATAAACGCTAAGTTTATTAAATTTTACTAAAACTTACGTTTGAGTCGTTTAAATCCAAAAACATCAATTTAAGGAAAGTACTCTAAGGAATTGGTTATTAGTGGCTGCTTTTTTACTTATACCATAGTTAACCATGGGATACCATGGTATCCCCAATATTTATTATCTAATTCTTATGTAAAATTGTCCCCTGAATCCGAAAATACTGTCAAAAATTATAAAAGTGCAATAGTCAATTAAAAAATTATATGGAAAATTGACTATATCTCAAAAACTGTTTTATAACTTTTGACGACAAATTCGGATTCAGGGGACAATTTTACATGGAAATTGACTGCTAAATGTTCGGGATACAAATAGCTATTGAAGATAATTATTAGTGGCTACTTTTTCGCTATGACAATTAGTCATTTTTGTCTAATTCCTTTTTAGAGAGTACTGGAAAATCGCAAAAAATTGGATGTATCGGGTTTAGAACGAAACGCTCATTTATACACTATTAGTTATTATTATTATTATTATTATCACGGCCCCACAGCCGGATTGTGTCGGGTGTTATTATTATTAACATTATTTTTTTCTTTTTTTTTCAGTCCATTTGCTTTGAAAGGTGCACTTAGGGTGTTTTTTATTTTTACGTTCCACTTTCTAGCGTTTGCTACGTACTTTGGTAAAAGCTCGTTTTACAAAATATCTCGAATTTTTAATTTACAAAATAGTTATTTACAATACATTATGTCTGATAATATAAATAAATACTTTTAATTTTAAAATATTTAGTGTACAAAGAAAATTTTGTAGGTTTAAAAAATACTTTTTTTTCTAAACCTATAAATAAATAAATTAACAATATAAGGAATTAATACAACCTATTTAAATCACAGTGCTGTTAATAAGTATAGCAGTAGACTAATGTTTTGAATCTAAGAGTACAAAACAACATTCCAGTACTGTACCTGATGAAATTTAACTATAGTATTAAAACACATAAATCTATAGTTTTATTTCCATAAATGTGTTTTTGCTTATTTACGCAAAATAGTGATTATATATATATAATAACAAACAAATTAAATTTTTATCAGTGAATAATATTTACATTATAATATCATTTATGATGACAAATACACAATTTACATGCAAACAAATCGTTTTAGAATTATCCGTATCGTTTGCAGCTAAGTCCTAAAAATTGGTCCACGACCTATTCGTTATGAATAAGAAAAATACAGGGTTTCACAACTTAAACACCCAGTATAAAGCAAGAATGATAAAAGGTTCCAAGTTTTGTGCAATTATTTCTGTGCCTTTTTATTTAATTTTTAAGTACTATAATATTAATAATTTTCTAAAAATATTTTTAAATTAATATTAGAAACTGTTGTCACTAAAATTTTAGAATATACAAGGTGTCCCTGAAATGCCTTTGCCAAATAATACCTGAGGCCAAAATAATGCGACCTTTATACAAAAGTTGATAATAACCAAGATATGGGGTGTCAAAGTTGAAACTTAGTTTAAGATTTTATTACTCTCTAAAAATGAATTAGTCAAAAATGATTAATTTAATAGTTATTATTATTGGCTTTTTCACTTGTACCATGGTTCACCATGGAATACCATGGTATCCCAAAATTTAACAGCCAATTCTTATGTAAAATTGTCCCCTGAATACGAAAATACTGTCAAAAATTATGAAAGTAGACCAGTTTTTGAGATACAGTAAATTCCATACTAAATGGAAAATTGGCTATATCTCAAAAACTGTTCTACTTTTTTTAAGTTTTGACATTTTCGGATTCAGGGGACAATTTTACATAAGAATTGGGGGATACCATGGTATTCTATGGTTAAACATGGTACAAGTGAAAAAGCAGCCACTAATAACTATTCAATTAGTAATTTTTGACTAATTCATTTTTAGAGAGTAAATAACATTGGAATATTTTCAGGGGTTTTTTTTAGGTTTTTTCAGGGCGCTGTTATTATCAACTTTTGTATAAAGCTAAATTTAGTGATATCGCATTATTTCGGTCCCATTTTAGGGATACCTTGTATAAACAATTTACCATAAATTACTTATTGTAAGTGCAAAAATATTTTTTTTAATTTTCTTAATTTTAATATCTTTGATCTAATCTTATTTAATTAATAGAGAGGCCCAAGTAGCACTTAAAAAAAATTAATATTTGTTAGTTTATTTTACACCTTTTTAACTACTTTTTTACTCAACTTAAACTATAATTAACCGGTTTAGGTTTATTTTAACTCTATATAATTATAATTTACCAAATCTGGTTATGTATATCTACATATGTTAAAAATAAAAAGTCGCCTCTTAATATTAATACTCAAATATGTATGTACAGGGTGGTCCACGTAAGGTGACCCATATATCCCATATATCTCATAAACTACTATATTATATTTTTATTTATACAGGGTGTTCGGTTTTCCGTGGGACGATACCAACTTTCTTATTTTCAATGAAACACCCTGTATTTTTTTGCATTTTTAGATTATACACACTATTTTAGGTATACTTTGTAAATATATTAATTAGGAAAATGTTAATACTTTTTGAGAAAAATTAAAATTTATCAAAATTTCTCTAAATGTGGACATTCGCTAAAAGTTAAAAATAACCAACAAAAACTTATTATTTTTTATATTCATCTCTTTAATAATAACCAAGTTGGTTATTTTTAACTTTTAGCGAATGTCTACATTTAGAGAAATTTTGATAAATTTTAATTTTACTCAAAAAGTATTAACATTTTCCTAATTAATATATTTACAAAGTTTACCTAAAATGGTGTGTAGAATCTAAAAATTCAAAAAAATACAATGTGTTCCATTGAAAATAAGAATGTTGGAATTGTCCCACGGAAAACCGAACACCCTGTATAAATGAAAATATAATATTTTAATAATATTTTTTACTTTGTGAATATTTCTCACCTACAAATTTTTTGTGACTCCAGTAGTTTCTGAGATAAGTATATGGGTCACATTACGTGGACCACCCTGTACATCAATTAATATCTTAAAGAGACAGTTCTAAGGGAAAAAGCAATGGGACATTTTTTCCCTGATGAAGAAGTACATAATACTACCATTTTAAATGTGCTTTAAAAAAATAAGAAATAAAGAAAATATAAAAATATAAAAATAAAAATGTTCTTTATTTTGTTTGAAATTGATTTCAAATACTTTTAAAGTTTAATTTCATTTAACTTAAACATAAAATAATATTATGTTTTATTATTGGTTTGTTTAAATTTTCTTATTTTTGGTATAAAAAATTATTAAAATTAATGGCATTTATTTCCTTTTGTTAGAATGGACACCAAACAATATGGCGATTTTAGGATGCTTTTACTTATTGGGTATATAACCAATAGAAACTAACCTGCAAGTTTATTTAAACCATTTGGTTACTTTATTGTGTTTAATTTAAGAACTTTATTTACCTATCAGTAATTTATAACTTTTTCGGTGTTGGTTTAAATTCGGTTAATGTAACATGTGCACATTATAGTTAATAATTACCAAAATTAGTTAAATTAAACCAACTTGTTATTTTTTAAATAACTAACCTAAAAAAATACCGCCGATCTCACGGGTTATTACGTTCTGATTTTAGTTGCAGCCCTGCTTTATTTTTATAAAACGCATATGTTCTGTGATAAAACCTATAAATGCTTACCAAATTAATTAAATGGGAGGGGACTGTTTTAAGATTTGTAGATAAATAATTATTTACAACTATGTTAACTCTTCTATAGTTTCAAAAATTAAACTAAACCAAAATATGTCTAAAAAAATTATTTATTTTAGTTAGGTTTTAGTTAATTTACTTAAATTGCTAGTAGTGCTACTTGGAAGTGTTACATAGCAAAGTTGTCAATTTAAAATACCCTGTATAACTATAATTTAAAAATAAGTGCGTAAAAGGTTATCTATTTATAAAATCAATTTTTAAACTGAATTTTATCAAAACGATTAAATTAATTGTGTATGATATGTTTGATAAAATTGAACAAGTCAATGAAATTAATTGTATTAATTAAGTAATTAGTAGTGAAATATTAAGCTTTTACAATTTCCCCCTTATATAATTTTTAATAAAAAAGGCACAGATAAATCGATCTCTATAGAGGTATACCAACTAAAAACTAAAATATGGACCCGATCCACTTGTTCATTTTATTTTTTCTCGACAAACTAAACCGAAAATGATATGCCACAAATTCGGAAAATACCACGGTTTTTATGTTAATTTTTTTTTTTTTAGAATCATGGCGCCGCAGTCCTGTGAACGCGATGCAAAACAACTTGGCCGCTACTCGATGTCGAATCCGGAACTTCTGCTTCGCACCTGCACTTTAGCACCCACTGCACGAGCACTGTCAACAACTTCGAGTCTGCATCCGGTTTGCCCGGATCCTCGTCCGCCCAAAGGTCCTCTTCCGGTTCCAGATACTCCGGCAGAAGTTCCGTTGCGCTCTCTGTCGATTGGGAACCTAAAGATGAAATTGTTACGTTACATTTATGTAAGACAAATTAAAACAAATGCAAATTTCTCTGATAATAAACTATACAAATTAGAATTGAGGAAGAAATTATAGGTTTTTGTTAGTTTAATAATCAGTGTTTCCACCTCTAGTCTCAATGCAAGCACGAATTTGACAAGGCATGTTTTTTATTAATTTATTTATTTCTTTTTGTTGAACTTTTTCCTACCCCCTATATATATATTATATATATTAGAGTGTTCAAAAAAAAAAAAATTTTTTTCTTCTAATGGTGTTGAAAAATTAATAGTACATTAAAAACCAAAATTTGAGCCCTTAATATTAATATTAAGGTCTCAATTCATTTATTGTTTTACCATTTCAATAACACGGGAATTTTTTTTTTATTTTGAATTTTTATAACTTTGGAATGGTTTGTTTTCGCAACACCCAAGCGAGAGGATTTGTAGCACATTTCACGCTCTACAAAAAACATCTGAAGGTCAAAGTTCTTCAGATCAACCGTTTCAAAGATATCAACGATCAAAAATAACACTAATAAAAAAATTAGAAATATTTCCCAATAAAACTACAAAAATATATCATATGCCATATTTATATTATTTTTTATGTAAAATCACTTTAATTTTGTTAACCTGAATCTGAATCTTTTTTTGCTAATTAATTCAATACGTAGCTCACAAAAAGCACAAATACATAAATATAAAGATTAAAAATATTATCTCCACGCGGTCTATAATTTAAACTTTATTGTTGTCAACATTCGATAAAGAAATACCTTGTTATGGCCTACGCCGATAAAAAATTTTATGAGGCAAGTAATTAGTTCGATTTTTTCTCGCTAGGGGTATTGTTTTGACAAATTAATCCTTTTCTAAGAAATTAACGTACTAAACTGGTTTAATGTATTTATAATAAGGACTAATTTGTTTGGTTTACTGTTAATGTTTAAAATTTTTCATTAAATTATTATAAAATTAAATATGAATAATAAAACAAAAAGTGAGGTTAGGCAACAAAGAAAACGCACGATTCTTTTTCTACGATTTAAATTATCTTTAAGTTTTAATTTGCTTTAAGTTTTCAGTGAAATTAAATGTTAAACACAGCTTAAACATTCCAAACTACCTATTTTTAAATAAAAATTTAAACAAATTGAAATTAGATACCTACCTATTTATTAAACAATTAATTGAATTCAATGTAATAGCAAAAATCTATTTCTACTTAAATCATGTTGCTAGGTATTGTCAAACTATTACTGCTTCTAAAAGCAATAATAATTATTGTAAATTTAATTTAATCTTTAGCTAATAAATAAATGAGATTCTAAAAAAGTGAGGTTAGGCCGCTTTGATGTTGAATTAAATTGACCCATATAAAGTGCTTTGAAGATAAAATGTTACTTCTTAACCTAATGACATAAATAACTATTGGGTCTCTTTTATAACAAATTTATTTTATTTTCTACTATAGGTAAATACTAAGAAATTTAATTGAACAATTAATTTTATATAACAAAAAACAATATTTAACAACCAGTTATGAATATTTTTTAACTTAAAAATATTACAGTCGTAAAATTACTTTTATTGCAATTAGGATATCGTTTTCTATGTTCTGTCACTACTTGCAACTAATATTGAAGCTGTTCTTCGTCTTGCGTTAAGCATCTATTATACTGCTCTATCAATGCCCCGCCGCGTTTTGAGGGCGGTCGCTTGGCATGCGAGAAGTTATCGAACTTTTTTTATTTTATAAATTTGTTGTTCCTTTGTTAAAAAGTGTTGTGTTGTGTTGGGTTGGTTGGTTTGGTTTGTTTGTTTTAGTTTTATCGTAACATAAAATCAACAAAACAAACAATCTGCTAAATAAAGCTCTGTCGATATTTTTCAAATAAAAAAAATTTGATTAAATTTTTTAGTTGATTTAATTGATTTAACATATTTACATAATTTTTCTATTATTTTTAATAAAATACAATGATGAGTCTTTGGTTAGTTAGTGTGATAAGGAACTTTACATTTTCTTTTTACAAAAATTTATAAATTTTATAAAATATAAAATAAATTTGTTATAAAAGAGGCCCAAAAATCATTTATACGAATATTATATTTTTAATCTTTATATTTATGTTGTAGGGTGGTCAATGTCACTTGTCTTGACGAATTCTATACTTGTCTTACTTATATTTTTGTAATATTAAAATATCCCTAATTGAATATTATTATTTAATTACAATTTTATGCTTTTAGTTATAGGCAACTGCTTGTACAGCTGTGTATTTTTGGTATTATAATCATTATTATTTTATAATAATGTAATAATTGGGTTTAGAAGATTATTGTGAATTATCTAGTTATCGTAAATAGGTTACTTATTTAATTAATATTTGAAGTAGTGCTGTTAATCCATAAAAAGAATTGACAGAAGCTTCTACGATGCGCATGCATAAAGAAGTTTCTACGGTTTTTGGACGAGTCCATTATTTGATGATGGTGGGAAGGAGGCTCGAAAAAGGTTTTTCGATTAAATTAGAAGGGTGTTGGCTGTTGGTGATATAACACGGGAGTCGAGTGTAAAATAAAGGCGAAGAAGCTTCAAGGAGAATAGTGCGATCTTCGTGCTTGGTGGATTCTTTATACCAGAGAAATACACAGGTTGGTTTTTGATATTATTTATACTACATATATTGCTGTAAATGATTGATTTACATGTTTTAAATTTCTCCAACGGCTGCCATTACGCAATGCTTGTAGTCACGTACCTCAAACAAATGCCTATTTTTCTCAATTATTTATTATTTAGAAAAACATTGAATTAACATTTGATTTATATTTTAAATACTATAATAAACATACGTTTACAAATATTGCAAATTATTGGAATACATAATTTTAAACGTTATTATAAAATTATTAAATTACACACTCTTAAACTAAAATTGTATCAATTTTATATCTAGTATTATTATTGTGATTGGTCCAGTTTTACAGTTTGATTAATATCTGTGTTTTCAATTGACTTATCGAGACAAGTGAAAAATAACACTATTTATTATTAGGGTTTAAGGTCCCTTGATTTATGTATATGATTTGACCATGCTCCTTGAAGATTAAATATTTAAAAAGTTACAACAAACAAATATGTCGCCTAAATGGCACAATAATAAATATGTCGCCTAAATGGCACAATAACAAATATGTCGCCTAAATGGCACAATAACAAATATATCGCCTAAATGGCACAATAATAAATATATCGCCTAAATGGCACAATAACAAATATATCGCCTAAATGGCAGAATAACAAATATGTCGCCTAAATGGCACAATAACAAATGTGTCACCTGTGTCACAATTAAAAAGTATGTTACCTAAAGGGTAAATACAACAATATTATACCGAAATGGTTCAACAATAACAAACTTGCCTAAATGGCTTTACACACAATAAGTTGTTAACACCGTCGTTATTTTTATCGACGAGGTTCAGGGTCTCAGTATATATTCTTGGTTCACCACTCTACCTGCACGTTATAATTGGAATGATTTTGAATACTATTATGTTTTGGATCAGGGTCTCCTTGGATTGACCATAATCCTAACCTTACTTTAACTACGCGAATACGGCACGGTATAATTGGAATGATTTTGACTACTATTATGTTTTGGATCAGGGTCTCCTTGGATTGACCATAATCCTAACCTTACTTTAACTACGCGAATACGGCACGGTATAATTGGAATGATTTTGACTACTATTATGTTTTGGATCAGGGTCTCCTTGGATTGACCATAATCCTAACCTTACTTTAACTACGCGAATTGCAGACATTTAGATCTTGTTTCGAGCATCGATTGAATTGTAGTAAAATAATTTATTTAAGTACTGGACCAAAGAAATATTCAAAATTACTTATATGTTCATACAAGTGTACAATATTGACAAGATTACAAATGAAATTAATTAACTCTTTACTCAACGTTTTACCGGGTTTTTAAACCACAGATAAATAGTGGCACCTCTGATCTTATAAATAAATAAGTCATAAAATGAGCATGCTAGTGTTTTATTTAAACAATTCCTGACAATAAGTAAGTATGATACCTTGAAAAAGAACTGTAGTTACTATGTAGGTTTTAGTTAAACATTTCACAACGAGACGATTACAGCTATTTGGCCAATTAAATTAAACCTTATATTATTATTATTTTTTTGTATTACCCTTTTTCATTAAACGATGAGGCAGGGGTCTCCACCTTACAGATTGGTGCCGTGACCAGGATCTATCGGACTTGTTTGCTTTTGATTGATTTCGGCACAGTGCACGGTGTCGTTGTCGAGAATTTTGCCGAGCTTGTTTGGTTTGTCCTTGGTTTCGGTGCAGATTGGTGTAATAACGAAATTCTAAAGATATACTATTGCATTTTTTTTTAAATACCGTATATACGGTACAGATTGTCGCTAGTGCGAAGGACAAGGTTTGAAAAATCATACTTTCTTGTGATGGAATTGATTAAATTTTATTTGCTTGACTTTTAATTGCTTATCTTATAGTTTGCATAAAATTTGTAGATATGCAATGTTTAAAAAAAAAAGAGAGATACTCGTTTGGTTTTCTATTATACAGGTTCCCAAAATGGATAGGAAACGTGTCCCCAAAGAAACTACCTGTTGGAGGCGTTCCAGAATCCGACAACGTGATTTCAGGACTTGTGAGAGATATGGCTCAATCTTTGGGTTTGCCCAGTACAAATGAAGTATCCAATGGAAATCATGAAGAACTTCATCAATTTAACTTGGTTGACATCTATCATCGAGCCACTTCGTTGACGCAATCTTCCACCCAGTCTCAACCAGTTACGACCGCAAATTTAACAGGCGTTAGAAAATGTCAACGCCCATACTGCAAACAGAATTTTAATCAGATCCGGTAGTAGTGAGTAATAACAAAACCCATTTTCAATCTTCTTAAAATGAAACTATACAAACATTAGTCGAGTCTTTGGCAGACATTTTTATAAACAAAATTGTACTCGTACACCTTCAGTTTTCCCTAGAGTTTCAAATAGCTTTACAAAATGTAATACTTTTCATAATCCCCATTTCCAGGATGAAAATTTTTCGAACCCATTTCCTAAGAATCGGAATTTTTCCAACTATTCAAATTCAGATAGAAATCATGTAAATGATTTCTATAACACGAAAAAAAAAACCAAATTATAGAGCAGTGCCTTATCCCGCACATAATTCTTACATAAAACGTGTTGGCCGTTCTGATTTTAAAAAAAATCTTTTAACCGTTCATCTGGTTCTTTTAATAAACCGACCAAGCCAAATTCTAATGTGTTTCCTAGTCTTTAAATAAAACCCTCTTACCTAAACCAATTTCTTTTGTACCTGCTGTTCGTGAAACATCGTCTAATGTAGAAAATTCTCTGAAAACCTCAATTCTTCAAACTCACATATCAGAGTGCGTAGAACAGATCAGTACAAAATATGTTCGAGGTTGGCCCATACTTAACCAGAGTGGGGACGTGTCTTCTATACAAAATAAAGATCAGTTGGTGATACCTAGTCCGTTAGAATTAACTCGACGACCTGACTCTTTCTTGTAAGTTTCTAGAAATTCTAAGGATATTGATGATAATACTTTGGGCATTTTAAGTCTTTCTAACAATCCAACTAAAAAAATAAAGGAACAAGTGTTCTAGCTTCGAATGTCCCGGGGAGCCTGCAATAATTTCTTATTGACATTTTTCAACGATTTTGAATAAAAAAAGCGTTTCTGGTTTCGAACCTCACTTCTCATCACAAACGCTTGGGGACGTCTGTAGGGTGGTGACCCACCCTTAGTATTCTCTGAAAAATGTCACTTGTCTTGACGAATTCTATACTTGTCTTACTTATATTTTTGTAATATTAAAATATCCCTAATTGAATATTATTATTTAATTACAATTTTATGCTTTTAGTTATAGGCAACTGCTTGTACAGCTGTGTATTTTTGGTATTATAATCATTATTATTTTATAATAATGTAATAATTGGGTTTAGAAGATTATTGTGAATTATCTAGTTATCGTAAATAGGTTACTTATTTAATTAATATTTGAAGTAGTGCTGTTAATCCATAAAAAGAATTGACAGAAGCTTCTACGATGCGCATGCATAAAGAAGTTTCTACGGTTTTTGGACGAGTCCATTATTTGATGATGGTGGGAAGGAGGCTCGAAAAAGGTTTTTCGATTAAATTAGAAGGGTGTTGGCTGTTGGTGATATAACACGGGAGTCGAGTGTAAAATAAAGGCGAAGAAGCTTCAAGGAGAATAGTGCGATCTTCGTGCTTGGTGGATTCTTTATACCAGAGAAATACACAGGTTGGTTTTTGATATTATTTATACTACATATATTGCTGTAAATGATTGATTTACATGTTTTAAATTTCTCCAACGGCTGCCATTACGCAATGCTTGTAGTCACGTACCTCAAACAAATGCCTATTTTTCTCAATTATTTATTATTTAGAAAAACATTGAATTAACATTTGATTTATATTTTAAATACTATAATAAACATACGTTTACAAATATTGCAAATTATTGGAATACATAATTTTAAACGTTATTATAAAATTATTAAATTACACACTCTTAAACTAAAATTGTATCAATTTTATATCTAGTATTATTATTGTGATTGGTCCAGTTTTACAGTTTGATTAATATCTGTGTTTTCAATTGACTTATCGAGACAAGTGAAAAATAACACTATTTATTATTAGGGTTTAAGGTCCCTTGATTTATGTATATGATTTGACCATGCTCCTTGAAGATTAAATATTTAAAAAGTTACAACAAACAAATATGTCGCCTAAATGGCACAATAATAAATATGTCGCCTAAATGGCACAATAACAAATATGTCGCCTAAATGGCACAATAACAAATATATCGCCTAAATGGCACAATAATAAATATATCGCCTAAATGGCACAATAACAAATATATCGCCTAAATGGCAGAATAACAAATATGTCGCCTAAATGGCACAATAACAAATGTGTCACCTGTGTCACAATTAAAAAGTATGTTACCTAAAGGGTAAATACAACAATATTATACCGAAATAGTTCAACAATAACAAACTTGCCTAAATGGCTTTACACACAATAAGTTGTTAACACCGTCGTTATTTTTATCGACGAGGTTCAGGGTCTCAGTATATATTCTTGGTTCACCACTCTACCTGCACGTTATAATTGGAATGATTTTGAATACTATTATGTTTTGGATCAGGGTCTCCTTGGATTGACCATAATCCTAACCTTACTTTAACTACGCGAATACGGCACGGTATAATTGGAATGATTTTGACTACTATTATGTTTTGGATCAGGGTCTCCTTGGATTGACCATAATCCTAACCTTACTTTAACTACGCGAATACGGCACGGTATAATTGGAATGATTTTGACTACTATTATGTTTTGGATCAGGGTCTCCTTGGATTGACCATAATCCTAACCTTACTTTAACTACGCGAATTGCAGACATTTAGATCTTGTTTCGAGCATTGATTGAATTGTAGTAAAATAATTTATTTAAGTACTGGACCAAAGAAATATTCAAAATTACTTATATGTTCATACAAGTGTACAATATTGACAAGATTACAAATGAAATTAATTAACTCTTTACTCAACGTTTTACCGGGTTTTTAAACCACAGATAAATAGTGGCACCTCTGATCTTATAAATAAATAAGTCATAAAATGAGCATGCTAGTGTTTTATTTAAACAATTCCTGACAATAAGTAAGTATGATACCTTGAAAAAGAACTGTAGTTACTATGTAGGTTTTAGTTAAACATTTCACAACGAGACGATTACAGCTATTTGGCCAATTAAATTAAACCTTATATTATTATTATTTTTTTGTATTACCCTTTTTCATTAAACGATGAGGCAGGGGTCTCCACCTTACAATGTATTTGTGCTTTTTGTGAGTAACGTATTGAATTAATTAGCAAAAAAAGTTTACAGTCTCAGGTTAACAGATTTAAAGTGATTTTACATAAAAAATAATATAAATATGGCATATTTTTGTAGTTTTATTGGAAAATATTTGAAATTTTTTGATTAGCACTTGTCATTTTTGAATGCTGATATCTTTGAAACGGTTGATCTGAAGAACTTTAACCTTCAGATGTTTTTTGTAGAGCGTGAAATTTCCTATAAATCCTCTTGCTTGGGTGTTGCGAAAACAAACCATTTCAAAGTTATAAGCATTCAAAAAAAAAATCCCGTGTTATTGAAAAGAAAAACCACAAATGAATTGAGGCAAATCTTAACCCTTTATAGGTTAATGGTCTCTATGTTAACCACATCCATTACAGCTTACTTAGAAATGAGAGAGAACCCAAACTTCGACCAAAGTACAAATAAATGAACTCATAATGTGCAGTGGCTATCATATTGGCCACAATTTAAATTTGGCAATTGTTAGAACCAATGTGGTCACTATGTTAAACATTGCCTGTTCCCACAAAATTGCGAAAAAGTAACATTTGCAGTAATTGTTGCTGCTAGCGAGCATAAGCATGTTTGTTTTACCTGACAAAACACATAATTCAAAAGGTAATTGAATGCTTTACAACTTGTGATAATAGTAGCGCTAACGAAATATTTAGATCGTTTTGGAACATAACCTCTATCAAGCTCACATACCGTGAGACTATTGAATCCATGTCCAGTATTTTTTGTTTTTTTGAAAAATTGGATTCAAGTAAACTATTTTATCTAGTTGTTGGTATAGCCGAAGATCAGGTTATGGATTCGGAGATTGAGGGCGATAGCCCATCAAGAGTCCCCAAATACTATTCGTCTGAATTCACCAAGTAGGTACATCTTCATGTTTACAAGTAACTTCAGCCAATACTTCAGCACGATCCAGCCTACGTAATCGTAGTGAGCGAACATCCAGTATACATTTCAGAAAACAAATTTTGAATAGATTTGGGGGTGAAAGTGACTCTGATGCAGATGTTCTTTCAGATGACTCAGTATCGCGATTACTCATCAGATTCAGAGAAAACTACCAGTAGTAGGTCATTTTTGAAAATTGACCAGTGAAAATAAAAATATGCATCACAGAAATGCCAATGTAACTTACTCACAAACACAAGAGTAGGTAGAATCAAACAATGAAGAAACTTTGAGAAATTGAAATTTACTAAAACCGTTTCCAGGTAAGAATAATGACAGTTTTCAGTGAACAATTTGGAAATAAATATTTGCTTTTTTATAGCATACACCATGTAATTATTTTACCTGGTCCTGATCCCTTAATATTAATATTAGGGTTTGCCTCAATTCATTTGTGGTTTTTCCATTTCAATTTCAATATAGGCGCCAACATTTTTGTTTTTTAATGTAATTTTTCAACACCATTAGAATAAAAAAATAATTGTTTTTTTTAAACACCCTAATATATTTATATGTGCATACCTTCGCATATGAAGTCGACTTTGACGGTGGTGCTGAGCAGGGGCTGACAGGACATGCCAGGGAGGGGACAGAGTCCGCAGTACTTGGGCCGGAAGCGCTTCCGGCTGCGACAGGGACCGAAGCGGAGGTAGACGGCGGAACTGAGCCGGTGAGTCGCTTTGCATTCATGGCCTCTCTGCAAAAACACGTAAATTGCATCCATTATGTCTGTCTACACTGTACCCTGTATTCCTTATTTCCCAGGACTGCGTCTTTGGATGTCTTGTTCCCTTTTTATTTTGATTGAGTAACAAAGAGGGGTTTTTTATTTTTTATTTATCTGTCTTTAAATCCTTAAAATTCATCTCGTTTTTATACCAAATTTGGACAAAATTTTAATTACAATTAGTAACAATCCAGGGTACCTATTTAAAATAGGTACATATTTGTGAAAAAAACAGTGTAAAAACAAACATTTATTCTCAAGTCCTTTTAGTCATTGGCGTACCTTGCAATTTCGCCGACATGTTTTTATTTTACTATTAATTAAATATTGTAAATATAAATTTAAATTTTATCAGTCTATAACAATTATAATCCGCAAGTGTTTAGTTAACACATTTTCTTAGATCTCCTTTGAAACTGCTCCGCCACTGTACGGTACATCTTGGAGCCAAACAAGTTATTCATTATTGTATTAGCACAATACTAATTTTATTTTCCTAATACAAAAATAAGATACATGATTGATAAAATTCATTTTTTTTACCCTATTTCATTTATATTATCCCCGCCTATGCTTTTGAAGAAAGCATCTGTCATTGACATATGGGTGAATGTTTTAAAACTGTCGATTTTCGGAACCATTTTCGTTAACACATAAAAAAAATTGCAAATCTTATTAATTTTAGGACTTTTCCACTCATAAACATAGACATGAAGACATAAAAACGTAAATTTTTTTTGTCTCTTTTAGAAAGTTGAACCCACGGTTTTACTTGCATGTCTTTTAGCTTCGTTGGTCGACTTGTTTTGTGGTTTTGTCATTTTACTTAATTTCCCACTGAAATTAAATATTTTAAATTGGTTAATTGTATAAGGGACACGACAATGACGAGCACGGTAATGATGATTTTAGGGTTAGAGTGTTTTACAATGTTTATTCGAAAATGTAATGGAATTTTCAAGTTACCATTTGCTTTTTGTTAATGCAAGTCTCCTTTGTATTAATATAAATATTTTGTATGTCGATAAACTTTGAAATAAAACTTACCCCGACAATGACGGACTTTGACGTAACAAGCCGTTTTCGTTTTCATTCGGCGCACGTCACAACTTTATGGTTTGACATATGATAGTGGACGTTAGACAGGCAGGATATTTCTCTATCAGACGTTCGAAAATTCCGGCATTTTCCGAATGTATCGCGTATTTAAATATGAAATTAGACACATTTTAAGTAGCCACGGCAATGACGCTCATGGGTGTAAACAAAGTTTAAACGGCATTAAAAGAAAAGTTAACATTTTAAAATGCAATTTCTTGCTTGCATTGTATTATTTTATATTTTCTTCGTCTGTGTTAGACAGGATATTGCAAGATTTAATTTGTAAATAAATGTAAGAAAATAATATGTTGTTGTTCTTCGAATGTGAACAAGGCAAGGTAATGACGTTTGCGACAGTAAACATTAAAACATGTTTTTTACTATGCTTGTTTAGACTAAAATAAGTACACTGTTCAAAATTTCATGACCATTTTAACACCAAATTAACACCATACATGGTCTATATCGATACAAACCAAAATGGTGTTAAATATGGTTCGTTGGCCGGTGTAAATTCAAATACTAAAATGGTGTTAATTTAACTTTCACACAGTATTAAAATAAATTTTACCTGGTGTAAATTGAACTCCTTTTCAGTGTTAAATATTATGTGTTTGTGGTCAAATTAAATCATACTACACAGAAAAAAGGAAAAAAAAGGAAACAGGAAGTTCCTTGACGCATTACTAGTATATTACCAGTGGTATTATTCCAGAAAATGGAACCTTCAACTCGCTAGAGATGTTTTAGTGCGTTCCACTAACTTAAAATACTTCAAGTATTGACAGCTGTTTCCACCTATTTAAGGTCTCTTTAGTATCGAACAACTTGTAGTGTCACACCAAAGCAAAGGATCACCTGAGTTTATATATTCTTCATGTAAGTCAACAGAGGCGAGATTTAAGAACATCACGTGATCCACACCGCCTTTGCCGCGATCGGTACACATTTTCAACCATAATTCATGGTGTTATATTAACACCACTTGGTGTTGGATTTTGACACCATTTTAAGATTACTTTTTACACCACAGATATTTTAAACAGTGTAAGGAATCAAAAAATAGTATATTATGTATCAAGTTTGATAAACGGCATTTTATACACAAATTTAATTTAGGCACGAGCGAGCTTGCAAGCGAGTGCTTAAGTTAATGAGTGTATAGAAAAGTTTATAAACGAGGTGAATACTATACTTTTTCTACGACAAATACTTATTATTATCTTAAAATGATTTAAATCAAAAATTTGTATAGAGCGCCATCTATAAAACAACAGGGGAAACTGTCAAATGTCACATTCAGATTCCCATTTTTACATTTTATAAACACAATTATGAAGGTTATAAATCGAAATGTATCTTGAAAATTGACAGTTTTTCACAGTGAAAGTAAAGGAAATGTTTTATGAGGAGTTTACAGTGGAGTCCGTGCCCGATTTATGTTATAGTTTACTGCCGGCGAAATTAAAAGGTCACTACAATGTTCATATAAACTTTTCAAATATTGGCGTTAAGAAACTATTTAATATTTTTGTGTTTTTGTATTAAGATAATAAAATAATTTTCACATTTAGTATTATTTTACAAGAAATGCACTTTATTTTAACGATTGTATGACATTTGACAACTGTCAACTAACTTCAGCCCGTGACTAAAGCGCCGTAAAGCCACAACTTGTCAATGTGTATTTAAAAGATATCTTTTAAATACACATTGACAAGTCATATGACTTAGTGTCATGGAAACATGTACGATAAAGAGCGTTTTAAAGGTGGGAGTAGAAAAAAAATAGTTAATTAAACTAGACATCAATTATTTTATTTTCAGTGGGATATTAACTTTTGAAATAACAAGCCAGAACCGATTGAATTACAATTTTGAAATATTCACCCATATAAAGGGGTATAAGTAAATTTTGTTTAGTTTTGAGATAACCATGTTTAAAGTAAAAATACACTTGTAATTTGGAGTCAAAATTGTTTGTTGTTTTATGACTTTTTTTTCAAGATGTCTAAGCTTAGAATTCAGTTATATCCCTTGGATACCAAGTAAAATGTACCATTTACTCTTTTTCTGTACATAACTTGACTTCTAGGGTTCTCAAATAGTATATGCTATTTGGAGGAGAAGGTCTTTTTGTGCTTCGCTCAATTGCTTTGCCTCGGCTGCAACGTTTTAAGCTCAGCACAAAATACATGGGAAAAGAAAGCAGTAAAAGAAGTGAAATGGATTCGCGGCAGCAGACTTCTTCTAAGTGAGTTTTACGACTTGCGGAGTTGATTTATACGTTAATTATTCATGACCGCGCTTTTTTTGAGGAGTCAACTTCTGAGTTAACTAAACCGCACGGGAAGCGAAGTGGGTAATGTAAATTTATTGGGAAGACGCCGTCAAGGCTCAAGTTGCTCATCGTACTAAGTTTAGTTTCTCTAATTTATTATTAATAGCGATAATGCCGTTGAAATTCTAGGCTAATAGTTTAGATTTAGATCTAAATTTAATGTCAGTAGTTTCTTAAGCCGATGCTACCAAGTATGTACAGGGTGGTCCACGTAAGGTGACCCATATACTTATCTCAGAAACTACTGGAGTCACAAAAAATTTGTAAGGAACAAATAATCACGAAGTAAAAAATATTTTTAAAATATTATATTTTCATTTATACAGGGTGTTCGGTTTTCCTTGGGACGTTACCAACTTTCTTATTTTCAATGGAACACCCTGTATTTTTTTGCATTTTTGGATTCTTCCCACTCTTTTAGGTATACTTTGTAAATATATTAAATACGAAAATGTTAATACTTTTTGAGTAAAATGAGGATTTATTAAAATTTCGCTAAATGTAGACACTCGCTAAAAGTTAAAAATAACCAACTAAGTTATTATTTTTTATATTATATAGTATCCATCTCTTTAATAATAAGTTAGCTATAAGTTAATTATTATATTTTTTGGAAAATATCATACAGGGTGTTTTCTATGTCCCGTTGAAAATAGCGATTTTAAAAGTTTAAAATCTTGTTTTTATTCAATGGAACACCCTATATATTTTTGCATAATTGGATAGAATAAGTAATTACCTTTCATTTTATATATATATGTCCTATACCTAAACCTAACAGAAAAAAAAATATTCGCATTTTTCACAATTAGTAGCTTTTTTTCAATTACCTTAGTTAAATTTTCATTATTCAAAGAAAACACCCTGTATAATATTTTCCAAAAAATAAATTAATTAACTTATAGCTTACTTATTATTAAAGAGATGAATGCTACATAATATAAAAAATAATAACTTTTAGTTGGTTATTTTTAACTTTTAGCGAATTTCTACATTTAGAGAAATTTTAATAAATCCTCATTTTACTCAAAAAGTATTAACATTTTCTTAATTAATATATTTACAAAGTATACCTAAAAGAGTGTGTAGAATCCAAAAATGCAAAAAAATATAGGGTGTTCCAATGAAAATAAGAAAGTTGGTATCGTCCCAAGGAAAACCGAACACCCTGTATAAATGAAAATATAATATTTTAAAAATATTTTTTACTTCGTGAATATTTGTTTCTTACAAATTTTTTGTGACTCCAGTAGTTTCTGAGATAAGTATATGGGTCACCTTACGTGGATCACCTAAAAAAAATATTCGCATTTTACAAAATTAGTAGCTTTGCGCGTATGGTAATTATTATAGTAATATATATTTATATATAAAAGCATTTTTATTTGTTGTTATTGAAATTTATTTATTTGAATAATGAAAATTTAACTAAGGTAATTGGAAAAAAGCTACTAATTGTGAAAAATGCGAATATTTTTTTTCTGTTAGGTTTAGGTATAGGACATATATATATATAAAATAAAAGGTA